GGAAAAAATAATGAATCCTTCAAATTATCATTTCACTGAATATATTTGTGAGTCGACGCCTATGAGCAAAATGGTTTGAATATTGTAGTTATGTTGGTGATACCATCTTATACGTACAAATACTTATAACCTTATGTTATCGAAAAATGATTGGGAGCCATATAATGCATTTTTTTCTGCAACCGACACAAAAGTCGTCCATTTTGATACCAAAATTAGCTCTTAAATTGACGTTTCTATTACTGACACAAAAATAGGTATGTTGCTAGGCAACATATTTAGTTCCTAGGAGCTAAAGTTGAATTTCAGTTCCTAGGAGCTAAAGTTGAACATTAGCTCCTAGGAACTAAAAAGGATGTACTGGACGTCATCAAGAATAAACAACATTGTGACGGTTGGTTATTTGGGTTGGGACGCATACCTGATTTGTTTCCGATTTCAGCAGATTTGGCATTTCATACCCATGCTGGAGATATAAATACACCTTATTAGAGTTTAGTATTGGAATTATAAACATTTTGTTTTGATCAGGGAAGCCTTCAAGATTCAAATACTTGCTTGATCTGTATTTCATTCGTTATTCTCGGGATGGATAACTTGTTTTTGAATAATCACGGCAAGCAATAGTTTTTTTTGTCTCAAACAACGATATTGTTTAGCTTCATTTGATTATCAAGTCAAACACAGTGAAGTATGGAGAGGAATAAATAATCACTATTATCATTGTTGACATGTTCACTAACCTAACATTTTCCACGTCTGGTTCCTATAGCTGGCACTGGCGCGGTATTTGCCATTAGAGCATACCTGGTCCATACACACATAGTATGTCACTCTGTGGTTGTATTTATATTGAAACTACAATTCGAACATCCTAGAAAACCTAACCTGCTGTTAATGCAGGTAGAATATTCTCACCACATGGAATATTTGTCAATATTTGTTGCATTGCATACATGTGGCACGGCATTGGTGGTTACTTCACATGTTTATTTGAGTTAATTGTTTTGGTTGCAGAAAAAATAGCATGTTTCATTCGGATCAAAAGTGACTTTGTTCGACTCGCAAATTTTGCTTTCGCTCGGCTCCGCTAAACGCTCCGCCTCGCAAATGCAAAATTCGCTTGACAAACAAAGTGTCACTTTTGATCCTAATAAAACAATCTACTAGTATTTACAATCATATATGTAATTTGGTCATTACTAAAGTCATTGAAGGTTGGGAAGTGTCACATTACACACCTCTACTTCCCGCCCTCACTACTTCCCGCCCCTCACTACTTCCCGCCCTTACTTCCTGCCCTCTCACTCATGTAATAATTCAGGTATGTTCAGAACGAAACATAGATTTATTAATTTTGATCGAAATATGATGGTTGTAAATAAAATAGTACATAAACCTCGGTAGGGAGTTTCATTCCTGTCTCGAGATTATAGCTTCGCGTCTCGGTTAACTTACTAATCTCACGACAGGAATGAATCACTTCCCACCTCGGTGTGTAATATACTATTTTTATCTACAACTATGGAGTCATTCATACATTGCTTACTCGATTTTCGACATTTAATGACAGACATTATTGTAATGAATCGAGTAATAAGAGTAATAATGACAGTAGGGTGGCGTAATAATCTGACATCCCATCGTCTTGTCAAATTCAACTAGGTAGGTATTCGTTCTACTAGTTCAAAAGACTCACCTTACATGGTTCTGATAGTTTTAATCACCTTAATTCTACAAATACACGGAAAAATGAGAATTCACTGTTTTCCATCCTCAACAGTGACTACCAGCATGAATAACCATAACCATAAAATAGGACTTGACACTTGACAGTTGCAGATTTGCTCACACTATCACACTAACAGGCTATTCGAATAAATTAGTACAGACCAATCACAACCATCTTGGAATTTTATTTTTGATAACTAGCTTCTAGAGACAGGGTACTACAATTAATCATCACGGTTGGGGAACGCTACAGCGGAAGCAAGTTAATGAATAATCTGCAATTGTATGATTCATTTTACAACTGAAAAGTGAAATGGCATATAATACCTGGTGAGATTGACTGATATGTGATTATAAAGTTATATCCAACATTGTTTATCATATTTTCACAATCAATATTATTGAAATAAGTTATAAGCTGTTCGTTCAATGAAATTTCTGTCAATAAGTTTTCGATGAAATTAATGAGTATTTCAGATTTAGTGATTTTGCAATATAATAACCTTCATTTTTTCCAAAAATATATTTCTGAACTCTCAGAGTTGCTTTGATATTTGAATAGTTGTAGATAAAGTATAGTATTCTACTTGCGCATAATGACTATTACCCACTCAGATGATTACAGTACTCGCCTTTGGCTCGTACTGCAACTTTCATCTTCGTGGGTAATAGCCATCATTATGCGCTCGTTGAATAATATACTATTATAATTGTGTATAATGAAAGATATCCTGATATTCGAAGTGGTCCTCAATACATCATTTCATTCGATAGTTCATGGATATCATAGTGTAATATTCTCAACCCCACTATACATAGATGAGTAGAGGTGTTACATCAAAATGGTTTTTCAATCTCCTCCTATAACTTCTCTTAATTCTTTGAACCTCTCGATGAATGAATCTGAAAAAGTCGAGTGTCGAAAGCTAACCTAATTGTTTTCACACAGTTAAATTTACAATATCATCACATTGATTATGAAAACCACCTTAAGAACTATTTCCCAATGCCCAAAAGCCCCTTGAGCAGCGGCGGATTTACCGCAGGGGCACTGGCATTGCGTCAGTATTTTTCCTTATCATTTGTTTGTATAAAAGAAATAATGATGAAAATGAATTTCTTCTTTGAGCAATAGATAGGTACTTATTTTATACAGCAGCAGCGGCAACATTGCAAAAATGTTGAGAATCAAATACAGGGTCCCGATGATTTCATAGGGACAAAAGGTAGGTATTGCTATTTCCTAAATGATGCGAGATATAAAATTGCTCAAATCAAAGGTTTAAACTTCCTCAATATGGCGTTTTGCATACTGAAAATATCTGCCGATTCCTTTTTCTCAAATTACAACTGAATAAAAACAAAATCAATATTTCTCAGTTTGTTTTATTTTCGGAACGGCTGAGTTTTCTCCAGCTTGCAAAACGTATACTATTTGAAAAATAGCAATAATGTCCCTATGAAATCGGCAGTAACCTGATGAAGGAATGATGGACGTGTTTTCCAATGCAAAAATACTGCTTTGAACTTGTTTTTAACACTACTATCAGAGACCAGTTGCAAAGCAGAGCTGTGTACCTGATGCCGAAAATGAGATTACAATCTTAGGGAATGACTTCCATCGAAAGTAATTTGATAAGCAGTTTGAATTATGATATGGAGTGATATCGTAGTATGTTTCTCCAAGTAATTTCGTTATGGTTTAGTTCTTTTCGTACGTTGTATCTGATCCTAGTCAGTTACGTTTATTTCATTCTATGTATCAATGTGTCAATTTTTTTTCTCTCTTATTATATTATGAACTATATTTTCATCAATGAATGTACTTTTTTGTTTCTTATACCCTATATATCAAGCATATTTCCTTTGTATTTGGTTAGAAAATATTATGTGATGGTATTATTTATTTTAAAATTGGTGAGTAAAAAAATAACAGGAGAAAAAAATTTGGTAGGAGCCTCGGTAGGGGCCGCAGTGGCCCCAAGAATCATCAAGCTGAGGGCCCCATGAATCATAGATCCGCCACCGCCCTTGAGGTTATTACATGCATGGAACATCCGGTATAAAAAGGCGAATGCGCCACCGCCTTCAATGCCATCACCAATACCGTCGCCAACTCTTTCAATTTGAAATTTCATTTATTTTTGTACTCTTGGTAACTGACTTTTGGTTCAAATTTCAAATGAATCGCATCTGGTCTTGCACCAAAACCATGAATTAATAAAATGAATCTTATAGGACAAGATAGTACCAGGAAGACGGGAGAAAGAGAGAAGAAAGATAGATAGAGACATATAAAATTGGTCATTGGGGTCATTCAGTGGTTCATTCAGAGTCATGTTGCGCCTGGAATAAATGATTTTTGAATTGGTATTTCAAATTATCGATCAATAGGTCTTACCAATTGGGATTCCAAATATTAATACAATTTAATGAGTCAGAAATATTATAAGAGAACGAGCGCTTATATACACTTCTTTTTCGTGAGCAGGGACACTCAATAGTAATTTTTTACCATTCAGGTTTAACTTGTCTCTGAAATGGTGAATTCAAAATCAATTAGAGCAACACCCTATAAGTCACACCATTATTGTCACTGAGAAGTGTCAAGAAATGAAAAAAAATCAATCTCAATAATAATCATTTCTGTAAGTTCAGAAAAAACTAGGATATTGTTGAAAAGATACTTGAACACCCTTCAAAATAATGTGCTTCTTGACCCCTTTTCCATATGAGGTTCTATGGGTAACAACTACCCCTTCTAGGAAGTTGAAACAAAAGGGCTAAAAGTATGCATTTTGAGTGTCTTCATCGTAAATGAAATTGACGTAATTGTTCGATTTTTCATATCATTTACTGAAAGGGATTTATTGAGGTTGGGAAGTTTTCTTAGTGACATGGCATTTTTCGGAAACTACTACTGACAGAAAATGATGGACTAGGATATCGTGGGAAAAATAATTGAACGCCCTTCAAAATGACCCCCCTTCCCAATTGAGATTCTCTCCCTGTTTTTCGATTTCTCATATGGAAGAAAGATATTGAGGGTGGGAAATTATCAAAATATTACTCTTCTTCTCTTCTTCTAACATGATTCGAACATTGTGTCATTGACTATCGATTCAATTTCTTTCTCAGGTTCCTAATAATGAAGTTTTAAGCGCATCGACATTTTTGGGCAAATCATCTGATTTATCCTGTTTAACCAATCACCACATCATCAATACTCGCTTTCCCAAATGTAATCCTGTTCTTCTTCTTCTAATTAGAAAACAGAAGAGAGATCTGTCCCAATAGCAGTTAGAATCCACAGAACCCTTGAACTGGCCGATGATAAGTTCTACGTCATCACCTGTGGCAATGCAGGATTCAGGAATGCCAGAAACGAAACTTCCTTGGTCTCCCTGAGGCTACTCGAAAACGGGAAAAGGATCACTGAGGCCGTCTATCATAGACCCTACACGCTCAGGACTGAAATCTCAAGGCCAGACGGTACTTATGGATTCAGGTAAGAGAAATTCCAATCCAATTAGAAATAAGTGATCCTCAATCATTTCAAGCACATTACTATCGTATTAATAATCGTAATTCTGATTATTTGCACCGTTACATAAATCGAAATTATTATATTATCAGGTATTTCCGAGGATGTTCCGACATAACTGGAGTCAGAAATCACTCGGTGTGAAATTCTTCGACATTGATGTAACATGATGTAATAAATCATCCTTATAGATATTTCTTCCATCCGAATGAATATTTCAATTGATCACAGTATCAAGGGTTGGTTAGACAAGTTAACTACAAAGATGTCAAATGTGTGAATGAAATTGGCGCCACTCTTGATATTATTGTGTTTTTATAAACTGTTGAATTGTGAATTATTGAAACTAAGACTAAGGCCTACTCTTGAGCTGTTCGATTTTCTAACTAACTATACTATCGTCATTGATAAAGTTCATTCAACAAATGATACTGAATTCGACAGTAACTGCGATACCAACAAACAACTCAAAAGGTTTAACGCTTTTCAAGTGAAATATGGTGAATTATTGTCCAAATATATTTGATATACACAAAAAGTAATTAATGTATTGCTTAGATTTATTACGTATGTTTATACACTATTAGCAATTTTAGGTGCAAAAGTCGGAATTGGCATTGGAAGTGGCGAATTTGATTTTTTTTTTTCATTCTAATCGTTGTGTGAACTTCAACATCAAAATGGAGAGTTATTCTTGGCAAATGGTCTCAATCTTTTCAATAGAAGTTTCTTGAAAATGTTTAGTTAAACTATCAGTTGCTCGGAACATTTATTCATTTATACGGCACTTTCATTTGAAAGGTGATGAAAATATCCGTTTACGACAAAAGTCTCAACCAACATGTGAAAGTGGTCTCGACAAATATCAAAATTATCAGTAAACAAAACAAAGATTTTCATTTAAAACCAAATTGTACTAAAAACTAGAAAATATATTTTTCAGTCATTTGTGTATACCAGGTGTCAACAAATATGATAAACAAACCATCAGTTCTAGAATATTCGGTGTATCAAAAAGGAAATTCAATATGGGTATATGATATGTGCGAAGAGGAAAGTTTTCGCATATTATGACTCCGGTTTTGAATTTTATATTATAACATTTTTGAACTTCTGAGATAACTCTGGATCACAATGTGAAAGTTTCAGAAGTTTTTAAACCTACTCCATTTTCTTAGAGTCACTTTTAATATTGCATCTAATTGGCCCTGATCGGATTTCAGGTGATTTCAGAAAATTATAATCCCAAAGTTTTAATGACTAGTATGGAAAATATAGGAAGAAGACAAGTCGACAAAATCACATTTGTTTGTCTAACTATTATTTCTCAACCATTTTTTGACAAGCACTTTCCAAATAGAGGATTTTTTGACGAATCTAACTAAAATTAGAACATAAATTCAATATCACTAAGGATGATAATGGATAGTTATTCATTCATATTTGTCAAATGTGCCATGGATTGTCATGATGCCTAATATTTTACAGTTATATCTTTCGAGTCTTTTATGGAAAACAAAACATTCAGGGTCCACTGTTCACCTTGATTCTGCATTATTTTGAAAGCTTATGTAACTGCCATTACATGTGAATTTGTTTGACTCGCTAATTTTGCTTTCGCTCGCCTCGCAAATGCAAAATTCGCTTGTCAAACAAAGTGTCACTTTTGATCCTAATAAAACAATCTACTATTTCTCCCAGGGTCAAGAACTGTTTTGCCTTCAATAAACTAAACAATACTGAACTGCTTGTGGACGAGAGAGGATGCAGCGTGAATGAAAATATTGTGGGAGCTTTCGTCTACGATGATCAGAAAGGAATTGCTGATGCGCCGGTCAGGTCTATGTTCAGGTTCCCAGATAGCTCAGAAGTACATTTTCAGGTATGTTTATACATGGTGTTTCTGAAATTGGGGCAATAAATGAAATGGATGACATGAAGACGAAAAACCAGAACAAAATGAAATAATACATTTTTGTTGATGAATAAACATTTTGGAATATACTTATTGATAGTTTGCCTGAAACTTTCGTCAATAATTGATCAGATGTAAATAGCTCAACCTAAGCGTTTGCTTCCGGCGGGGTCACATCAAGCACCGGAAGTAACAATGACTTTTGCAATGTTGCTGGATGTTCAACACTAGTTGAAAGTTGAATTATGGTGGGAGTTCATCGTGTCATTATGTCTCATAAACTCAATACAAAACAAAACAAAAGTGGCGCTTTTTTGATTTCTGAAGTCAAGTCGCTTGAAGTAAAGATTCCAGATCATATTCGTGTCTTATTTATTCATTTATTTATTTCCAGTTTGGAATACAAACAGGTGAAACCCATGCAAGCATCCGCTAATAGTTATAATAATTATAGTTATTTCGGTGATGTATAAATATAGTAGGCAAACTGTATCCTATTGCAGGTATTTTATATAAAATTCGAAATTTCATTTCTGTTAGATACCTAAAGAGTATGTATTGCTGTCTTATTAATTCAAATTCACAATATCTAATATCTATTTGAGGAATTACCAATATTTCACGTTTGAAGCCATTCATGAAATTACAAAATAAAACAAAAAAGTGTATTTTCATTTTACCTCTGTCAGAATCAACTGTGAGTCTATACAAATATAAAGACTTGCTGAATCTAGTTTCACTAGATAAACTCGAAATTTGTTGTTTTCTTCATTGTGTCTGGAAGGAATTGAAAATATCAAATTTGAATTTTAATACGATTCACGCCCATGAAAGAAGGCAATTTAATTTATTGATAGCAAATAATAGTGTGTCAAATTTTGGTAAACAATTGATATTTCATAGTGGCATATTTTCATATAACTCCTCAACTAATGAGTTGACGAATATAAAAGAAGCAGAGAGATTTAAAATCAAATTGAAGAAATATCAGCTCAGTATACTTCAATTTATATTTTAATATTTTCTTTATGGAAAAAAAATGATTGTTGTGCAATCATTATTGTTCTGATTCACTATGTTATATATGTTTTGTTGAATATATCCCTATGATAAAGAATGATGTTTCTTCGAATAATAATAAATACAATCAATAAACAACAACAAATGAGATCACATGAACTTTGGTTCATAATGGAACAAGACTGGATTAGTAGTAATGTACCAGAACAGTGTGGAATCATTCCTTAAGTGGGTGTGCCCATGTTATGAAAACAGTTTTTTCTCTTGGAGCGCAAGAAAGGGGTTCCCTATTATGTTCGAAGAACATCGTGCGTAGCTAGAGAGGATAGGGGGATAAGGTAGGTATGAGAACTGTTTTTGTATTTTTGGATATAGCAAGTGAACTATAATGAATATTCACGCTTTTGAAGTTTCATACTTCATTAGCAGTGATGACTCTTGAAAGAACTGCTATAGCAGAAGACGACAGATTTTTTTCTGACGTGGTCGAAATGTTTTATTGGCACCACGATGTTCCATTTCCTTCAGGTCAGTGTGAGGGACACTTCAAATAATATCACAGTAACTGTAAACACTATCGCTCACAGTACCAGAGGTTCGTTTGAAAGACTCTTTCCGTTCAGGTTCCTGAAGACTATTCTTCCGAGCCCTGATCTCGTTCATGAAGAATGCCAAAAGTGTTCCTACTCCTACGAGTTATTTGGAAAGAAGTTAATCTAGCCCTGTGATAGGTACCCCCTGCATAGGGCAAGGGCTGTTCACTTTGAGATATCACCCTGTTTCCCAAAGGTCCCGTTATCCACACCATATGACATCGGTGCCATCGTCGCGGTTTCTCACAACTGGGATCAGGTTGCCAGAACCTTGTTCGTCAATACACGGCTAGATATAAGCAGGTGTTCACAAATTGCCCCATCTTTGCACTCAGATGTCCACAAAACTGTCTCATCTGACTGATTTGAAAAAATATGTCCACGAAATGCTCTATTTGCCAAGCAACCACGAATCTTAGCTCTAAGCTCTTAGCACCTTGGTAGGGTAAGGTTGGGCGAGAAGTAAATTGGTAGTGGAGAAGGAAATCAGAAAAATTGGTTGAGACAGACCGATCGGTAAGATTGAAAACTGAATGGTAAAGAGGATACCATCCAACACAGGTTGAATATTGATCAGTATCCATCTAAGGTACCCCGTGTCCATCAATCAATCAATCAAAATATAGTTTATTGTCTGAAGAAAAAAAATTCTCATTGACAAAGTCATACATACATACATAATGAATAAAATATACCTAATATCACGATGTCTATAGCAAGAAAGTGATGCTACGATCATACTCATATATTAATAAAAGAATAAATAAAAAACGACAGTATCCATACGGATCTTAAGTTTTGTTTTGGCGAGTTGAACTTATAACTGCATCATATGACGGTTTATTGTTATGAACTAAACATACTGTTTCGAAAATGAAGAGGCACGGTAGTGTTAGGATTTTGTGCTCTGAGAACAGAGGTTTGCATGATACTCTAGGTGCCACTTTGTAGAGGTATCGAATAGCCCGCTTCTGGAGGATGAAGATCGATTTGAAATTATGTTCACTGCAAATGCCCCAGAAAGGTATTCCATATCTTATGTGTGACTCAAACAGAGCATGGTATACTAGACACTATCCGCAATGCATAACACCCAGTCGCCAATTTTTTACTCAAAAGTTCCACGTGATTATCGGTTGAGTTGAGTTTGTCATCCAGATAGATACCAAGAAATTCAACTTCGTTCTTCTGTTCAATGAAAACTTAATTTCCTAACTGGATGTCTGGTAGATGACATTTGATCGACAGGGGGCTAGTTTTACCTATATTGAACGACAGCAAATTTGAGTCACACCACCTTTACACAGCGGAAATATCGTTCCTGTATTCACAAGTCGTGAGCCCCCGAGGAACCCATAGGTCATCTTCGGTTCACGGATGAAATTTTTGTTGTTCATCAATGTTTTACTATGGAATGTTTATCGATCGTTCGTTCTATGTTTTGCAGTGTGACATCGGTCTCTGCAAGGGTCCCTGCGCTCCGCAAACCTGCACCAGCGACGTGGTCCAGTCCCGGGCCCTCAACACAGACGAGGGCATCCTGATGGCCGCCACCAGCGTCTTCGTGGTCGACCCCGGAGACGCCCCCCAGATCCAGGAGCTCTGCGACGAGTCCGGAGTGCGACCCTCCTGGCTGCTGTGGCTCTGCATCGCCCTCGGAGTGCTCTTCCTGCTGATGCTGATCATCAACATTTTCCTGTGCTCCGCGATGACTTGCGCTTGCGCTCGAACGGAAATCATCGAGAAGGAGCCGAGCATTATCGAGGACTACGATCCGTACAGGAGTTGGCATGGGAGTCAGTACGGGTCCAGGTGAGTTTGTTTCTAAAGTTACTTGTTTTTATGCTCTTCACGGATCTGATGACGAAGATTCCTAGTTAACATGCGTTGTAAGAGAATTAAAATATTGCAGACGCTAAACTGAACCATTGCTATTTATCAAAGATCCATTATCTCTCTTAGGGATGATGAATAATGTTATACAAAGTAGTAGTAGTCGTACCGTAAGGAAACCAGGCAAGTAGGACCCCATGGGTCCTTTTTGCTAACCGCTGCTCTTCACATTTCTATACATCCTTCTTCTAGTTGCACCTTCTCAACCTAACCTAACCTTTTGATGAAGGCTACAGGATGTTAATCCGCACCACCCCAAAGATTTCGTGGTTGGAGCGTCAATATCCTATACACGTTGGGTTACCGGTAGGTAGGTTTGATTTCCACCACGACTGCAGAATTTTTTCTGGTGGCCTAAGAAAGTGTTTGGGATCACACGTTAAAAGGTAAGACCCCCGTCATCCCTTGCACGCACAAGTCTCTTGAAGACTTTTGAGGGTTGCTCGTAAGGGGGCAATCGAATGATGAATAAGAACAATTTGAGAATAATTTTAGAACAATATGGCCCGCACTCTCCGAGGGAGTGAAGTGACGATTCCTCATTTTTGCATTCATTGAGGACGGACGAAGCTTGGCTTTTTGCTATGCCCATTACAGTCTATCTGGTCGCCAAAACGGTGTCACGGATCCGATTCTAAACAGTTCGTCTGCTACTTTGTTCCCGGGCACCCCCCTATGAACCGGAACCCATACTGGTTCGATTTCCTTCAGTCCAGTTAGTTTCTCAAGAGCATCAACGCATTCTTGCGCTAATGCTGAGTTCGATTCTGAGTAGCAGATAGCTTTGAGCGCTCCTTGACAATCCTTGCAGATTTCAATCTTTTGCTCTGGCTCATAATACAAACTCTCATGTCAAGTTCAAACCGTCCTGATCCTGACCCTGACCTTGCGACTAATCTAGAGTAAAGCCTTTCTGGCTCCGTATAACATTTGAATTCCTCTTCCTGCTGATGCTGATCATCAACATTTTCTTGTGCTCGGACGGAGATTATCAAGATGGAGCCGAGTGTTATCGAGAACTATAGAAGCCAGTACTGGTTTGATTCATTTAATGGTTTTCCTCGGTCGCGATACCAATTAATTCTGAAACCGCTCAGGACCAGTTTCACCAACATCATTTATCAACACTTAGCTGTAAAGTGACGATTAACGTGTTTCACCATACTACATATCGAGATGCGATCAAGTCGACTAACCGCGATTCAGTGGAAATGGAACATTTTTTGTGGATTTATTTGTTGATTCAGATTAATTCGACGTATCTCCCATATTTTGACTGTGCTTTATATCATCATTTCGAAAATCTTGAACAATGGAAATTTTGAGAGGAGGTTTCGATTTCAAGTAGCATAGTATAGCAGTAGATCTTGGATATGATGCACCTGCATTAAACTCAGTGACTTGTTCCTCCCATCATTGGTTTTTTAAGTACATGGTTTCATTATCAGTTTTTTTTTTTCAGTGGAATGGTAACATTTTTTAATAATGTCTATCAAAAATGCTTCATCATGTATTGTGATTATAATATGGTCCCTCTATTTTTCGGCTTCTGCATATTTCCATCACTCGACATGTTCAAAATTGTAGTGTATACAGAGAAATGGACCCATAAGGGTTTTTGTGGAATTGATGCATGATTGAGGTGAAAATTAAGCTGACACAAAACTAAACAGAATATAAAATTCTTTTTAATTTACTACGTTGCCAAATGGTTTGATGATTTAATCGCTATTAGAAGAAGCGTTTTGTGAAACTGTGCCTTAGGCTAATCTAGAGTACGGCCTTCTGGCTGTTGTGGCTCTGTATAGCATTTGGAGTACTCTTTCTGCTGATGTTGATCATCAACAGCTTCTTGTGCTCCTCGATGATTCGCATTATAGGAATTTCCTCAAGTGTGCTCCAAGAGATAAAAAAACACAAGAAAGTTACATATTTGTATGCTCTTCGAGGATCTGATGTGGAGGAATCCTAGATAACTTACGTTGTTCGAGAAGTAGACTGTAGATGCTAAACTGAATCATGGCTATTCGTCAGTGCCTCTCTTTGGCATGATGAATATTGTGATACAAACTCTCATGTCAACTCCAAACCTTCCAAATTCAGACCCCGCGACTAATCTAGAGTACAGCCTTTCTGGCTGCTGCGACTGTAGGTATAGCCACAAATTGACTGTGGTATATCTGTTGGAGTCTTCTTCTTGCTGATGTTGATCATCAACATATTATTCTTGTGTTCCACGATGACGTGCGTATGCGCCAGGGCGGGAATTATCAAGGAAATGCTGGGTTCAGAGACATGTATAGGCTTGGTATTTATATCTTATTCGAAGAGAACTCGAGAGCCAAAGAAATTGTAATTTTATTTGGTTCAATCATCTAACGAGAAAATAACGGTATGATTTCTTGTGAATAACTAACGGACTCTTCTCATTGGTGACATTTTATCGACTGTTTACGTTTGAAAGGTATCTCATCAACATGTCAACTATCCATGTTGATACAAATATTTCTAAGCCTTCTTCAAAACAATTTTTCAAATATTGACCAAACAAATTATGCCTTGATGTTTCGTGTATCATTAATTATAAAATTGTTGTTCTAAAATTGTTATATCCGTCATTCGGTTGCCCCTTACGAGCAACCCTCAGAAGTCTTCGAGAGTCTTATTGTGCGAGCAAGGAATGACGGAGGCCTTACCTTCTAACGTGTGATCCCAAACACTTTCTTGGGCCATCAGAACAATTTCTGCAGTCGCTGAGAATTGAACCCACGACCGGCAAGCGAATGCGGATTAGAATACTGACACTCTCTCCGCACGGCTACCTGGCTCCTAAGGAAACATCTAATATTAGCAATTAGATATGTTTTTGTCTGTTCTCGTCTGTCTGCATGGTCACTCTCACTTCAATTCCCATTTTTTTCTAGATACTCTCTGAATGGTGCTCCTCAGCACCCGAAAGGCTACACGTCTGGCGGCTCGACGATGGCTTCCAACAGATCGGTCTCGTCCCACAGCGACCATTACGCTATCGTGCATTCCAGACCTGGCAGCAGGGGCTACAACAACAAACACAGAGGCCCGCCATCTCACATCGGAAGTCACTACAGCGGAAAATAATCGGAGAAGTCACCAGCTGGTTTGTGTTCAATGTTGTAACTCCAGAGAGACGGAGGAAGAAGTGAACTTATGTGAACGATATGTCGCGGGTACTCGGTTCACAATAACTATTAGACAACTGTCCGGAATGTTCATACTCAACATAATTTCTTCTCGGAGTAGGTTCAGACTAGGTGGAGAAATTGATGTATATACGCCCAAAAACTACTGGTCAAGAAAACAATACTCTCCAGCTTGTTACATAAAACGAAAGAAAAACATCTGTACGATTACTGTTACCATAATGATAATTCTGTAATTGGTTCATAGTTCATCATATAATTGGTGTCCAAGTACACCTTCTGTAATAAAAATGCAAAAACAAGGTCCTACTAGTTGACCAAAATGAAAATCTCAAACTTTCTAATTTTCATGTTTCGATTGGGGCCCTGTCTATTTTGTCTGTTTATCAAATTCTACTTACAATCAATTGTATCAAATAAGAAGTCGATATGTTCTTGAAAAGTATATTGGTAGGTACCTACCTGATTTTTGCTACATGAATATTATCCTCGAAATGTTTGGGTTATTTCTTCTTTATTTCAACTTTCAACAAAAAATTTATGAATTTCATTCAATTGTCATAATTTTTCATTTGAAATATTGGAGAATGTGAAATAATTATGGTCTCAGTATCTTAATTTATTGACATCAGAATTTCGTGCGTTTTGTAGTTCGAATGTACGAATATGTTTCGATACCTATACTGATGTTATTTTTCTCTGAGTTTTTGGACTATACTTCAGGATCTCCTATTCAATTTATTTCCTAACCTAATGTATCTATATATTTTTTCTCATTTCTATAACTATTTTTTAACAAAATGATCCCACAATGTCGGATATGCATATAAATGATTTGTCATTGCAATGTGATAAAATATTCGTAATATGATAACTGTTCTTCCATTGAGAAAGTGCAATACCTACAGTGGTGATAATTTGATGAAATTGATCATCTGTACGTCGGATCCCAGTGTTGCCAGATATTGAATTCGTAGACACTCAGACACCTAGAGTAGTAATGTGGTAATAATGATGAATATTGTGAGCTGTGAACTCTTGTTATCATTCAAGTTCAGTGTTCAGCGTGCCTAAACAGTGTTTGGTTTTTTTCATAATGTTGCTCAATCAATAATGAGTACAGTCCCTTTATCCTTCATACTACTTTCAAATAAGACTTCGATGTCATCAATTTTTGATTTGTAGAATGATTCTGTGAGGGTAGTATTTTTGTCAGAAAGGTATAGTTATTGCGAGTCGTCTGGCAACACTGTATGTATCGTCATTCCCGTTGAAAATATCTGTAAGCACTTTGCATGCCTTTTTCGTAAATTTAAATACTTCTTACTAGTGAATGAATTTGTAAATTTTAATATAGACACTAAGTATCACGATAATTTGTAAAGAGAATTGTTCATTGTAAATATATTTTTACATTTATTAGACCTTTTTTCATATACTCTACTTGAGCTCGTAAGATTTGATCCAAATTCGATAGTCTCGATACAATGACGTCGATTTTATTGTTCGAATCTCAACGAAAATATAGCGGATGTTGAAATTAATATTTCCTTCAATGGAATTAAGAGGATATCAAAGATGTTTATTGGAAGGGAAAGTGGCGAGATAACGTCGTAAAACTGTTTAATACACTTTTATTTTCATTTGCTATAAATACGTCCCATCTACAATTTCATTTCACTCGTATAAAATGTTCATTCTTCATAACAGACACATTCTGATGCAGAACAACTTTTTGATGAGTATGCCAAGCATTGATCCATACATTGGACGTCAGCTCCCAAATTTCCTCTGTATTCCCCAACAGCTTCACAAGTATTCCTTAAAAAGAAAGAGTTGATTTTGTATTCATTTCTTGATTTTCCTGTTAACCTGAACCTATTTACTCATCTTCTTTTTTATGAATTTACTATTTATTATTCATGTCATATCAACTAGAATGTATTTTTCAAGGAAATACTACCTATTAGTATAATTTAAATTATACCTTTCTTACGGTACCTATATCACAATTTTACAGGGTGATTCAAAAAAACCTGACCCCCTTCGCTAGGGTAGGTAGAACACTGCAAAATAAGTTGGTTTTGCTTTGTGAAAAAATGTCGTAACGGGATTCGTTTTCATGATACAAGGTGTTGAAAAAATGATTTTTTTACACATTTTTCAAGATTATGTCGAAACTACTGGCAACATTGTAATGAAATTTTGTATGGATGTTTCTTGAAATCTGACACATCGCATGAATTTGTTTTTATATCTGACTCTCATAGAGGGCGCTAGTTACACGGTAATGCTGAAAACGGGAGCAGAATTGTTCCCGAAACGTCCAAAGCTAAGTGAAAATTTGATATTTTTTCTATATACCTTCATTTCTCTTCTCCAAACCTTTTTCAATACAAATTGTCACTGGCTAGTGAATTTTTCTTTCAGGCTCTCTATAGGAAAATTCCTCAAACGCAGTGACATTTTGGGGCAAATCATCTGATTTGTCTTTACTACACGTATATTGAAATAATATTCATATTTTTTTTTATAGAAACGAGAGAAAATCCCGAAAAATCTGGAATAATTTATCGATGAAAATATCATCTTCAATGCATTCACTCTCGAAAAACCTCAGCAGAATTAGGTAGGGAATGTTCACAATATTAACGATCTATTTACAAAACTCTGCAATTCCGGACTAATAGTCCAAGAGCCGAATGCAAATTCCTACCGTCATTTGATGAAGAAATGATGTATGTCACAAAGGCATTTGAAAACATTGTATTTGATTGATTGATTGATTGATTGATTAATAGCAGAATGATCAGTCAGGGTTTGAAGCCCAAAACACTGCAGCCTTTGGGTCTATTGTATTCCTGATCATGCTGTTGACTTAGGTGAACAGGTTCGCTATGTTGATGAGGTTTAGCAGCCTCTTCACCAAATCGTTCTTTGAAAAAGGCCTCTTGAGAGTTTACTGCTCCCAGAAGGTTGTATCTCCAACGCGCTAGTGCTTCGCACTCCAATATCACATGGGTGGCAGTTTCCTCCTCCTCATTGCATAGTCTGCATATGGGTTCATCTGTATAGATGCCCATTTGATGCATATGTTTCCTCAAGGGGCAGTGACCGGTTATTAGTCCCGTCACTTGTTTGATCTGACTTCTGGTTAGGCTCAGAATGTCGTTAGTCACTGTTTTGGACAGTGTTCCAACCATCAGTTTACTGTGTCTTTGTCCTGGGACATTGTTCCAGTATGCCTGATGTCTTTCCTGCATCCACCTTGCCAGCCAGCCGCGTATTGAGGTTTTGGGGATACCGAACACAGGTTCCGGCCCCATAAACAACGTCGCAGACCCTTGCCGGGCAAGAGCGTCAGGTGCTTCATTGCCTTCAATTCCCTTATGCCCTGGCACCCATTGAAGAGTTACCTTGTTGTGGTTAGCCAGGGTTAGCAGGCTTTGAAGGTAATCCCAGACCAATTTTGATCTGATTTTATTGCATGTTAGAGATTGAATGGCCGCCTGACTATCTGAGCATATGAGGATTTGTTTACCTCTGTATCCTCTTACAATATTCTCTCTCGGGCATGCCTCAATATAGCATGCACCTCTGCCTGGAATACTGAAGCATACCTCCCCAAGGAAGCACACATCCTGGTTCTGGGTCTATCTCCATATATTCCGGCTCCCGTGCCCTCATCAGTCTTAGAACCGTCAGTGTACCACACTGTATTTAAAATTGCACGATCTGAGTCAGTGGCAGAGCGTCAATATATCCCAGAATCTTTTGCCCTCCTCTGAAGATGATATCCCATGGACCAGTGTAAAACTCAACATGAGGATTAGAATACTTGTAATGCGAGCACTATACATGCGTTTTACACTAGTACATCGGATATTATCTTTAGACGGGGGCGAAATATTAACAAAAATATTGACGCTCTGCCTCTAACTTGAATCAGTTTGCATCACTTGGCACGTTTGAATTTTCGCAAAGGGGACAATATTGGTTTTTGTTCTTCATTTCATGACGGGAGTATGTCCGAAATAATGACTGCAAATAAATTGCTGTGCCGTGGATTTGGCACCGATTGAGGGGTGGCACGGGTAAGCTTTTGAGATCTATCTATGAATTGGTATCGGATGGCAATCTTCTTATCTACTTATCAAATCGCGAAATTGTGTGCAAATACCGCACAGGAAAGTGCCATTTTCAAATCATTTTGCTCAGGATAGTGATAGGCACAGGTGCCGTTAGATTAAATACAATGTTTTTTTATGCCTTCGGAACATATTATTTCGTTATCAGATGACGGTCGCAATTTGCAGCCGGCTTTCCTACTATAATGTCACAGTATTGACCCTGTACCATAGACTACAGAAGATAGTAATATTTGCCTGTACTGTGCTAATGTTAATATGAAATTTTCGGTTATAATTGCATAAGTGCATAAAAAATCAACGATCATTATGAAAGAAAGAGTGTTATCTAAACATTGCAAGTCTATTTTCATGTTTTGGCGAAAGAGCCGGAGTCCGAAGGAGGAGGGGATCTTTTACAAGATCTATGAAAATAACTGAATTAAATTTGTATAAGATAACACGCTTGAATGCAGTATTATCGGGTCATTTTCATGGACGAATGTAATTCATTGGAATATTTCACGAATAAAGAAATTCTAGAGGATTTTTTTTCTGAGACTTATCATAGTCTACAAATGAAATGTGCTATAATACATTTCGATTGTATGGAGCACTTACCAGAACGCGAGATTCTTTTCAATTTTTGGAGTATATCTGACATTCATTTGTATTGTTTACTGGCGTCTAGTAAAGCGACACGATGTCAAATTTGTTGTCATGCAATCATCCCTCTTATTTTTTGATAATTGCATTGCTCTTAATGAGTCATTCTATATATGAGGGGGAAATTCGACTCAATATTATCCTTCGAAGTTTGAGCACATACTAAAATAACACCTTGACGTATAACATCTACATAAAGAATTGATAGGCTAGGTACAATAGGTTGAAAATATTGATTGGTATTTCCAACGAATTTGATAAGAAATAGTGAAATTTGATCTGATACTTGCTGAATTCCCTCATGATATTAGCTTCAAAAAATCTAATCAGAATAAGAACGAAAACAATAGTAATGATGCATTGGATTTTATCAAGAATATCCAAGCTATACTTACGGACATTGGCAAATTTCCTGAGGACAATTAGGAGGATACCTCAAACAATTCGATTGACACCAGTCCCTCATTCCGGGAATCATCCTGTATAAGCTTCTTGGGACGCAGACTTGATCTCGTACGACCAATGGCACGACATTGTAAGGTGCAGGCTTACTGAAATACGGATGAAAACATTCATAAAAAATTGTTCTGCAAGCTGATACATCGTATCTCATAGAGGGCGCTAGGCTATATGGTAGTTTTTTAAAATTATCTTCGTCACATATATTGATATCTGAATCACGAATTTTGGTAACTAGGAGTAATTTGTTCGCACGAATCGTTTCGTGGTATGAACACATGATTTGATATACAGGGAGATGCTAAACTTGTAACTGATCATTTCAAAATTTCATTCAGGAGTGTTCAATACAGGGTGGGGCTACATTAAATATTGCTCAAACTTTTCTGTATGCATATATTTAAACAATTTGAACTCGGATTATCAAAAAACACACTGTTTTACAGAAAAAATATGCCCTTGTTCCGTATCGATCAGATGTATCGTTTTCGAGTGGAATATGGATTTAAAAATATTGTTACACTCACATCAAATGCATAACGTTGCCAATGTTCAAATCATATACCCGAGAGTACCCTGCCAAAGTTCAACAGCAGATTCTTCGATCAAAAATAAGAAAAAGACTATACCCATAAACTTGGGTCGGAAAATCCTTCAAGGGAGCTACAGCCCCTTAAATATGTGAGTCCCTGAAGATGGATTCACTCGAAAACGGTGCATGCTAGTGGACTTTATTAAGAGCACCTTTCTGCCAAGAAACACCTTGAAATTTGATAATTTGGCATTGAATCTCGAAAAAAAATAAACACGCACAAAAATTTTGGTGTAGATTGTACCCTTCCGCTCCCCCAAGTAATCCTACTAATGGGTAACATTTTTGAATAACTTTTACCCCGTCCTGTTGAGCATAAAATCTTCCGAGTATGTACAAAATCCCATCATTTTGCTTCTAATGGTTTCGGAGATACTAAATGAAATGAAATTTGCTATTGAAGTATGGCAGACTAATTTCGGATATATGATTTGAAAATTGGCAACGTTATGCATAATAAGATGAGGGTGTAAAAATATTTTCAATTCGATTCCACTCGAAAATGATCCATCTGAACAATACGACACAAGAGCACCTTTTCTCTGTGAAACTGTGTGGATTTTCATAATCCGAGATTAAATTGTCGAAAATTATGCATACAAAAATTTTTGAGCAATATTCAATGTATTACTACCCTGTATCAAACACTCCTGAATGAAATTTTGGAATGACATTACTTTCACTGCATTGACCGGATTGCATCATTTTATCACATGGCGTTTCGGAAATATTCATGAAATATATCATCTTCAGGAGCCAATTTCAAGGAGGACGTACCTCCCTTGGGAGCCACTTTTTGGCTCATGTTTATCAGAACTTTTCTTCCTTTTTTTGGTCGGAGAATCTGCTACTGAAGTATGGAAGGCTAATATTATTATGTGTGTCATACTCTCAGATTTTCTCACTCACCTGTAATCTCTGTAATATAGTTGATACGGATTCAAAGAATCTACAAATAAAGGTGGTATACCACCACCTGCGCTTGTGTGTATTGTTACATCAGCACAGTTCCTGAAAGTCTCTGATTTTCCACATCCTTGAGCCTGGGTACCATTCTCACACATACCCCACTGGTTGCCAGTGTAGTATGTCCATTGTAGGACGCATTGGGTGCAGGTCAGATAAGGGGGTAACTGAACTTGGTACCTAAACAGAAAGACCTGTTCATCATTTTCGACTACGACATATCAAAAATTGTCTGAATCACCTTTTTCATATTTTTATTGTTTTCCAATGTTTATATAGTATAATATTCAAATAGATCTATACATTTCTAAATATACACGACACTGTGTTCATCAAAACACTCCCTCCCCCTTGTTTTTATTGAATCAGTTATTTCATTTTCTTTTTGTTTCAATAATTGTAGAGCTCCATTTGATGAAAAATATAATCAGAAATATAGTAAAGAAACACAATTATTTCCATGGGGAAAGAAGTATACATTTTCGGAATCGCCCTGTATCTCATAAACGGAAAAAATTATGCAAAATCTGAATTAGGTCATCTTGAGTTTCACAAAAAAGTGGCACAGGACTGCAGAAACCACAAGGTTCTATCTCGAGAGATAACTGAGATATCACCCAAAAGCATCGAACACTGGAAACACTGTACATATTTCGAGCATCGTATGTAAACTATGTGAGATTTTTGTATTTAAATGTTATGGTTTTACAATGATCAAGGCCTTTTAAGCCAGTTCACCACTATTTTTTTTATTTTTTACATATTTTATAGAACTATAGTTTTTTAACGTTTGTATAAAAAATGTTGTTTGCAACTCGTTCGCGATTTTCCTTGGTTGTCTCGACTACTATTTTAACTCGGTTGCGCCTCGTTAAAAATACATTTCACGATTACCAAAGTAGCATTTCACACATTAGATACAAAAATAACTATTCATTGTCATGAAAAATATTTCGAGTGACATTTATTTCTGCTGATTTACCCATCATTTGTTGAGTTATTTAAATATGTGCTATTCATTATCTCCTGCAGTATAATGATTCGGTAGGAATTCAAAAAAACCAATACCACAAACCACCACAGACAAAATGAATCATAATACTCACGAATAATTAAATTAGTTTACACAGGTAAAAATTCAACAATGGAAGTAATCATGTCACTGTTAACAACGTGAATTTACAGGTTTTGGTCCCAACTCTCTGAGCTTGTAGTCATCAATATGCAAAAGAGTTGTTTTCTTTTCTCAGAATTGAATTTATGACTGTGTTGTCGTTTCATATATTCAACATGGATCAATTTTTTCACAAAGAGATTCCAATGTGCCTATGTATGCCTGGCTTTTATCATCGAATGATTGATTTTTTACTCTAAGAACCATATGACATATCGTTAAATGATTCAATTCATTGAACTTTCACCTCTTCTTCTTCTTCTTGTGTTTCAGTTAGTTCAATAATACAACTGTCTCAAAATACGCGTAATAAATATCTTTGTTACAGATGTATTATTATTAATCAGTTTAACACGAATTTTCATTATGAAACAGATTTTGGCCAATGATAACACGTAGTTTCCATTATGGAACGAATTTTTGGCATATACAAGGTGTTTGTTCAGTAAAAAATGTCGTAACGGCATCCGTTTTCAAGATAAAAGGTGTTGGAAAAAGATTTTTTGTATACATTTTTTGGTATGGATATGATCTGGAAGCTGACACATCGCATGAATTTGTTTTCATATTTGACTCTCATAGAGGGTGCTATAGTTACACGGTTCGTACCGAGTAATTTGAAACATAATATTTTCGTGGATTTTTCAGACCAAATTCCATATGTACTTGAACATCATTCAATTTAACACCAAAAAGGTAATACTCTCGATAATACTCAATACTGTGTACCGTTTTCGGAATATTTTGATTTGGAAATAATGGAGTAATAGCTGATGATACTGGTATAAAATAAGTATTATTGAGATCAATTTGAATTCAAAAACGATAACATAATCCATGCGCTGAAGTTATTGATTTAACAAAAAGAAGCAAGTAGAAAATTGAGATGAATTTTACTAATAACATAAAATATTGAACCAGTCAGAGTAAATGTTCGAAATGTCCTCTGTTTTCACAAATTCACGATTCTTTCTTTTTCTCATAAGAATGCACTATTCTCCTAAACGGTTGAGGATCAGTGTTCAAGTCATTCGGGTGATGTTCTATTTTGTCTTGCAACTCTTGACGTGAATTTACCTCTGTAGCTTAGACTTTTTTCTCGAGATACAACGTGTATTTAGATCTATGATACAACCAAACTCTGTGATCCATGTTTTTAGTTAAATTTATTTCAATATTATTCTTGCGATTCATGAAGTTCATCCCTAGAAATCTATTGTTGTTTCCGATTTTCAATAAATAGGTGATAATTGACTAGGGCAATCCATTTGAATCAAAGATTCATAATTTTGTAAGAACATGATTGTATCAGCATCATTATGAACAGGCGATTCCACAAAATCTCACACATTATTCAAAAAACGCTCATACATAATAATTATATTCTCTTGTTGTCTAAAGCCAGGTGGATATCTCCTCTAGGAATAAATTCGATAATATACAGTATGATTTGATTAACGCCTGAACTTTTTTAAATCCGCACAACTGCGGAAGGAATCAGAATATTGAAGAACATCGATATTAACAATCTTGTAAAAGGAAGGTCGAGAGTTTCAAATATTTTTGACCACTTTTCATGTCATAACTGAAAAACTTTTATAAGATGTGAAAAATGAACCTTAAACAGCAAGGACGCATCTTTTGAACACTGCATATCGAACGGGAATCGGTCAATTTATAAAAAACTTATCGCATTTTCAAAAACTTCGAAATCTGAGTAGTTTTGTTTCTCTGAGCACTTCATATTTCAGTAGTGAAGGCTTCGTGAAAAAATATGTATGAACGACGCTAAGCTATTTGACACTATATAGTGATATCAGCTGTCAACTCTATCAAGAAAATGTTGTTGAAAACACAAAAGTGTATAATAAAGTTATCAATTCATTATTGGTCATATCAACACTGTCAATGAAGATTTAACTGACTACAAATAGTGATGCCCGCAAGAGTCTCGTTTTCGAGAGTATCGCATGGTCTCGTTTCGTTTTCGAGACAAGACTCGAGACGAGACTCGGACAAGACGAGACAAGACTTTCATTGGTCTCGTCTCGAATCTCGTGCAAAACTTCTCGTGTCTCGTACGAGAGTCTCGCAGGTAAATATTTCTGCGTGCCGACTGCAGACTTCAGAATTTCATTCATATTGAAACATATTTAGAAATGAGATATGAGAAAACATCGGAATCGCCTTAATAATGAATCTGCACGATGTTTGTTATATGTCTTAACGACTGGGTGAAAAACAGAAACATGTGCGATCGTGAAGGCTGATCTGACTGATAAAGGTTTTTTTCTCCAGCGGCAGGGGTTGTGGCTTTTTCCTACCGCTTAACAGGCAGAAAAGGTGTACTTTTACTGCCTAGGCAGGAAAAGTTTGTTGCTATGCAACGTTCCAAGAAATTCTTCTGAAATTTGTAATCAAAATTGACACTGACATTGGGTGAACACAAATTGATGGAGTTTTCAATAAAAAAATTACACAAAATTGGTTTTATATCATTTGGAGAAAAAATGCTATGTTTCACAAGGCAGCAAATGTAGATTGACTACTTTTCTGCCTAGTAAAACAAATAACTATTTTCTTAGATACCTATTTCTCGAATAAGTAAAATAATGTTGCATTGAAGTTTTCGTTCTGTTTATTTGTTTAGAATATACGTGTTACTTTTTATTCTATTTTTATAATGCTATGTTTTTTTTTCTTGTTTAGATGTATGATGTAAGTATGTACCTATTAGGTACTTACTTTTCAATAAATAATGTGATTTTTGTTGTAATGTTCTCCTCCTACTTCCCTAAAGAGTAGGTTAAGGTAAATATCTCGTACTAGACTGGAACAAGATTATGCATGACGAAATTGCGATACATTTGCGAGACTCTCGTACGAGACGCGAGACAAGACGAGACTCGGGGCTGCGAGACGAGACTCGAGACAAGACTTCATATTTCACGAGACGAGACGAGACTTTATAAAAGTCTCGTCTCGTTAGTCTCGTGTGAATCACTAACTACAAATGCTTTTGTAGACCTACTGGGACTACGAATTCTTGATGAATCATCAACTAATTTCCAACAGTGTAGGTATGTTCCTGTCCATAAGGATACATTTGTGTTTCACTTCCTTTCAACTGATACTATTCCCAGCACTCTGAGATGAAAACTCATATCAACGCTCAAATCCTCGTTACCTGAACACTGCTTTCTTCTTCGCGTCCTCTGGAATCACATAATACGAGTCCCTAGTATCCCTTCTATCCACCACGAACAACGGATACCTGTCGAGACACTCCTGAGTCGCCTCCTGATTGGGATTGTTGTTGGGGCACAGCAGGATCTCGAACCGGCCGTAGTGGTTGGCCGTGAGCTCAATCTCGACGTCGATTGTTTGTCCGACGCCGTAGTGTCTGCTGATGATGCCCTTCGCGTAGGGCCCCCCTGCCTCGTGGGGCCGGGGCTCCTCTACGTGGTGGGGGTCTCCACATAGGCCACATTTGCCTTCGTTTTGCTCCCACTGCACTGAAACGATGAATTAATGGTCATGGCTAGGACCACTGAATTTTTAAAACGATATTATCGTGAGATCTATGCCAAAAAACTAACAGTAAATATAATTTTGATTTTTTTCATTCATACTAGGACCATAAATAGTAGATTATTTTATTAGGATCACTTTGTTTGACAAGAGGCGAAGCGTCTAGCGAAGTCAAGCGAAAGCAAGATTTGCGAGTCAAACAAAGTCACTTTTGATCCGAATGAAACATGCAATTTTTTGTGCATCCCAGAGAATAAACTAATATAACTATGTGAAGTAACCATCAATGCCGTACAATATTCAATCTGCATTAACAGATAAGGTTTATTAAATTTTCAAGGATGTTCGGAATATAGTTCCAATATAAATATAACCACAAAGTGACATACTTGTGTATGGACCAGGTGCTCTAATAGTAAATACCGCGCCAGTGCCAGGTATAGGAAAAAGACGTGGAAAATGTTAAGTAAGTGAGCATATATCAATAATAACAATAGCGATTATTTATTTCTCTCCATACTCTACCGTGTTTGGCTCGATAATCGAATGAAGGTATACAGTATCGTTGTTTGAGACAATAGTTATTTATTATACAAGGGAAAAAAGTAGTAGATTTTAGCTCCAGGTTGTGTTGTCTCCCGACGCGTAGCGGAGGGAGACAAAAAACCGTGAGCTAAAATCTAATATTTTTCCCGTGTATAATACACTATTTTTTTCTGTGACAGAAGAAAGGACGGATCAATATTGAGAAGATTTAACATTATTTTGAAATCTGAAAATTATCGACGTGAAAGTTTTTAACAGTAGGGACACCTACGTTGTAGGCATCTCTTTATCATTCTTTTGAAGTAATCGAATATCTGATGTCACTTCTGTCAGTCTAATTCTATGATTTGATTTCGAAAAATTGCGAATTCAGTGGTTATTTAGTAATATACGTAACCGCGAAGTCGAATGGAAGATAAAAGGACTTCCAGTTCTTTCTCGGAGATGGTATTATTGACTCATTTTTCGTAATTATAGCACAACAAAAGCCATCAACAGTGTATATATATGTGATATATATCCGGGAAAAAAGTACTCACTTTTTTCCCACGGGAAAAAAGTTATTTATGAAAAGTGACATTTCATAACCTGCCAACAGAGATGAAATGTCAAACTTTTTTCCCGTCACAGAAAAAAAACTATTGCTGCCCGTGATTATTCAAAAACAAGTTATCCATCCCGAGAATAACGAATAAAATACAGATCAAGCAAGTATATGTGAAACTTGAAGGCTTTCCTAATCAGAACAAAACTACAATATGATGTATTTATATCTCCACCATGGGTATGAAATGCCAAATCTTCCGAAATCGGAAACAAATCAGGTATGCGTCCCAACCCAAATAACCAACCCTAACAATGTTGTTCATCCTTGATGGCCTCTAGTACATCCTTTTTAGTTCCTAGGAACTGAATGTATTGCCTAGCAACATACCTATGTTTGTGTCAGTAATAGAAACATCAATTCAAAAGCCTAATTTTGGTATTGAAATGGACGACTTTTGTGTTGGTTGCAGAAAAAAGAATTGAATATGTCTATTTCAAAACATACTTCCTGAGCCAATTTGGAATGGTGTAAACACGCCTATTGTCCTTGAGCTGACCAATCACACTGCAACATTGCAGAATGATAAGATATCAGAGAGAGATAGCTACAGTTCGGGACTAAGACGTCACGGCTTCTCCTCCATATCTGGCTTTTTGAAACAGCGAATATGCTGAATTCATGCAAAACGCTATAGATTTGATTCCATTAAACTTCAACAAATAATATTGATTTTACATTAAATTAATGTAAATCATCGATCGAAAGAGGTATGGACGGATTTGATCCCTCAGTGGTTTTTCCCATTTCAAGAAGAACACCAATTCCTACTTTATTTCCCTTGGTTCTCACGATGTTCTCTGAACATTACAGGATATCCCATTTCGTGGGAACCAGAACATGAAAAAAAATCTGTAGCACACGGAAGGAAATCTCTATTATGTTCGTGGAAAATCGTACATATTCAGGAAGAAGAGAGAGAGATGGTAGGGGCTGGATTTCTCTTTAACTTTCGAAGGTTGAGAGTTCTTCAGACTACTTGTTTCGGCAAAGAATTCCAAAGCTTTGCCATTAGAAATATCAAGAGAGTTTTGGCAAAAATTTCTTCGAAATATTTCGAGGTTGACGACGAAAGGATGTGCTGACTGGGCTTGTCCAGTTCGTCTGACTAGCATTGCTAGTATTATAATGATAGACGAGATTTCTGGAGAACATATTCAGTGAAAGCATCTACGAACAGAAAAAAGATAATGTCGCCGACTTTTGTACGGTGATCCAATGAATTTATGAGTGTGGCATCACCAACCAGGAAAAATGCTCGTAAATGGATGGAATCTGAGAGTATAAAAGTGTGTTATTTATGTGCTTTATTATATTATTATATCATGCGAGAAATTGTTAAGGTGTTGAGTACCTAGCTTTTCGCTCGGAATGAAAATCCGAGATTTTGTGGAGCAGTTTCCGCAATGGATCTAACGTGATTCACATATGAAAGAAAATTCTTAATGTAAAAATACCGAGCAGATATGTTAGATTGCGTGGAAATGACGGCACAAGACATTGTTATATCTGGCATACTGGGTTTGGCATGTCTGGAGAAAATACAAGCTTGAGATTTGGTGGCGTTGAATTCAACTAGGTTATTGGTTCCCCAGGCTGTGATCGACAGCGTTGTCCTGTCCTAAGGTCTCAGTTTCCTGGCAATAAATGGGAATTCTGGGAGAGAATGCAGTATGAAGAGGACTGATATCAGCAAAGCTGTGGATATACAGTAACCACAATCGCCCAACAGATAATTAATATGAAGTAGAAACAATGTTGGTGCTGAAATTGATTGATTCTTCTGGGACGCAGGAATTGATGCCTATGCATGGTATCAAACGACACTCTGTCCACCACCAAATGGGTCAATCTGTCTGAAAGAAATCTAAGTTGAAAGAAGGCAAAGCTACGGTGGCAAGCCGTAGTTTGTGGAGAAGTCCGAATTCGAATACGGTCAAATGCTTTTTATAATGCCACAGCTAGACAATCTCCATGTTTTTACATTCGCACCAGCATCGCATTCAATTTCTAGTTGTATTGTCTCCTAATAGCATAGTTACCTGCATATCCTCCGCAAAACAGTTCGTTATCATTGTAGTTTACTGGATTGGGATAACCGAACCTCCACATTGAGTTTCTTGCAGGTGGGTCCATTAGTCTTCCATGTCCTATCACTAATTTCCCAAAACTCAACATTAGCACGGTGACACTTAGCAAAACTATCATTTTCACTCAAGTTGATGCAATCTGAAAAAAATAAGAGTTTCAGATCCTGATAATCATTTTCGCTGTCACAATAATTATCAAGAATCAAGCATACTTTGTATGAATAATTACAGAAAATACAGCAAGAGTGTATGTAACTTACGACGATTTAGGCGAATATTTAGGAGCATCCTAACTACCTATACGTAGATATACATATTTTTTCAAGTGGTTTATGGTCCGAAAATTTGTCGCTAAATCTATAGTTCCATTAATGGAAGCAGAGGATCTATCCATTCAGCTTATATAGAACAAAAAACGTGTCGTCGTCTGAGGAGAATCTTAAGTTTTTTAATGAAAAAAAAAGCACTCAGGAACAACATTCTCCGGAGTCATATATTTCAATGAGTGCAAACCTGAATCGCTGATTGGTTTTAAATTGGTGGTTCATGAGTAGTATATAGAAGACCAGATTTCGAAATAGTGGTATCGAAACATAATAGGTAACCTTGGCATTTGTGGTGGGTCTGATTGACAACAAAATATATAGGTGTGACAACAATAAAAACAAAAGCATGTAGGATATTTGATGCCTTATTATAAATCCACTATTATTGACTACCTGAAATTATGATGATTTAGATCTGCATGAATAAAAGATTTCAACATGGGTATGTCATGGGGTTTAAACATTATAAACTGAAAATATTTCAATTCATCGAGGCTTAAGTCAAAGATCGTAGATTATATGCATGATCTTAGCTATGATGTTGATATACATTCCTAATTATCATCCTAATATAGTGATCACTATTACTTTTACAATGACCATGCCATTTGGAAAATATCAGCGTTGAACTAAAAATCAAAGATTAGCAATGAAACAACGAAAATCTGGATGTTCGCAAGAAACATTTCCGAATATCCAACTTGTATTAACATGCCCAATATCAATTAACTTCAGTAAAACAAAACTGTCCACGTACCTAGTAAAAGAGATGGGATAAACAGGAAAGGCGAAAGGTTTAGCTTTTTACATAAGCATCAGCAAAGTCGTGTATGTAAAAATATGTCCTGGCTTATTGCGAGAACTCAATGATAAGATGGATGAAAAGTTGGTTAGTAGGTATATGTATGTTCAGGTAGGAATCAATTTTTTGTTAGTATCATGGAAAAATATCTTATATCTGCTGATTTGCAATCAAAACCAATCCTCCTAATTTGCGTCCACAAATTATCAAAAATTTCAACGAATCAGGAAAGTATGTATAAAATAATAAGTCAGCGACTTTCCATTGAAGAAACCCTTTTTTGAAAAATCGATCTCTGACGTCATCATTAATATATGAATAATTCCTGATGAATAGTATCTATGTAAAAAAAAGGTCAGATAAAAATCATCCTATAAATAAATCGCCATCATCAGAGGTAGTTTTTATGTTTTTATGGGTCGTCTCGAATTTCAACTCTAAAAATTGTACATATCCAACATGACATATCTGACGTCATCTCACATTCATTGAGACTCACCCTGTTTGAGGTTAATAAGAATATATACAGGGAATTTCATTTGTAAAGTGTTGCTACCTGTTGAAAAATCTCAGTTTACTGATGGAATTTACCACATTCTAAATGTTTTCTGTCAACGTCAGTTGTTCTTGCTGTTATTTCCATTGATAAACAATTCAACCGAATTTGATCTGATAGAAATATAATGATTTCAACAGTGTAGCCGATTTTATCCACATTTGACACCTCATACATATACAACCTTGAAAATAAGGTCAATTTGATGAAACTTGACTTCTGATACTACAGTGACAAGTTGAAAAGCTCCCAAGAGTTTTCGTTTTGAAATAATCAATCATAATTTGTCGATATGAGATCGATATGAAAAAAAGAGAATCATTTGCTTGACAGTCGTCCGCTACATATTTTATTATATTTCATTAACTCAAAACCAATATCGATCTAGAGATCTTAAGGAAATCCTTCTCCATGACCTTAAACTCCAATTATCAGTTAAGTATACGACTTCAACCGCTCCCTCCTGAATTCATTATGTTCTGAAGTGGTTTTGAAGCATAATTAAAAACTATGATATGACAGGCGAAATGGATAACCAGATGATTCCTTCCAAGTGAATCCATCGAAATGAATAAGAGGATATATTGATTTTGTATCGAGAGAACTATTTTCAAAGCAAAGTATAATGAACTTGTAAAAGGATTGATTGAACAAAAGAATATGTGTCAATGAACTTACTTTACTGTTGAATTTACGATTTATACATAGTCAATGTCAATTAGGTAATAGGACTTGGACAATTGGACACATACCTACCTATACATACCATACTTCATCGAAAACATGTTATATGAATCATATGATTACCTAATTTGGTAGGCTAGGTACTCAAAGTGATTCTGAAGAATATTTGGAAAGATACCAATTAATTTTCATTCTTTGCCTATACTCTTCTAAATAAATACAAAAAAGTAAATGACGGGAGAAAAACAACTACTTTCCTGGCTAATGCTACGCAGAACATTGAATTACATCCTCCTGGAATCATGAATCAATGCATCGATATACGTATGAACGAATACTATTGTTTTCGAGCTCCACCATAGGAGTTCTGGAATAATTCCAATATACTTCTTATCTTTTTATTTATTATTCATAATATCCACATGTTTTTATATTATTCATGGATATCATCATCCCTAATACAGGGTGACAGATATATACTGAGGAATATAAAATTCCTGATCTAATATTCCCACAAATCTCCCTATCTTCTATAAATCATCACTCCTGTGATGAAACTTTCTCGAATTCGTAACATGGGCAGACTCTTCTTTCCCATTGTTGTCATAATTCACATATGCTAATGTTCCTTGAATGTATTTCACTCTTGTTATCTTGAATGGTCCATTTTCAACATAATCTCTTCCTATTCGCTGTTGTCGAATCAAAATTGAATCCGCTATATTCAATTTTGGTGGTTTCAATTTTTATCCTTCATTAGCGTTACATTGTATCCTTTCTTTGTACTTTAACTGTTCTTCCGGAGATTCAGGTTTTTCGTCAAATGATATCTCCAAAGCCAACGTTTCATCAGCTTGCAAAATGGCTGGTTTTCCATACAATTTATAAAATGGTGAACATCCTAAATACTCATTGTGAGATTGATTACGGTGACGTACATCAGTATCTAAGCATTTCTTCCAACCTCCAGGGAAATTTTGGTAGCATTTGATGATTTTTTTCAAATATCTTATTGTTCTCTCAGCCAATCCGTTTCCTGCAGGATGATATGGAGTCGTATGTACAATATTAATACCTCTCTGTCACAATATTTCTGACTTGATCCAAATAAGGTAATTTAGCAAAATATTGTTTCACAGATTTTCCATTTTCTTTCATTGCTTTTGCCGAAATGCATCGAGTTGCTTCATCTATGGTAATCAAAAAGGATTGTGTCGTTCTATTTAACTCTGATTTCTTCTGTAATTCGGCAAAATCGATGTGTATTGTTTCATAAGGATATTCAGAGCATTTATTCAGATGTCGTGACATACATAAGACCTAGACGCCTAGACGTTTCTAACTGGGACATTCTTAACCCATTAGTGCATAATGTGTCTTATAATGGACGCTCCTTGTCTAATTTTTTGTGACGTCAATCATGCAGGAATTGAATGTTTCATGCGCCAGAACTATAAGTGTAGTTCAACAACAAACAGCTATCGCTTCTATTTCATGAATTTGTATCTCGACAATATTCTGCACGTGATCAAATGGATAACAATTTGTATTGCACCCGACAAGGAGGGTAAGTATTCATTATGACGGAGTATAATGAATTTCAAAATTTCCTATCACTCAAGATCTCATTATATGCATGTGTTTATGAACCTATAAGGTAATTCGAATAATTATTTTTTTTGTAAGACACTCAAAATATTGCTTTTGTGTTGTGTCCATTATAATGGACTCTATGCATATCGGTCATCAAGATTTTTTTGTAGATCATTCATGTAAACACCTCTTAGGCATATGGAAAATGGCTCAGATATCGATCAACCAACAGATAATCATATATTATATTGCCTCCAGAAGAAGAGTTGGCAGAAATGCAGTTATTCGAATTTAGAAACTGTGAATCCATAATAAATCATATTTCTAAAGGAATTATCAAACAGCCGTGCGACTTTCGTTATTCTGATCCTGATTTTGATGAAATTGAAAATAATATACATCTTTGCATAATGAAAAGGAAAATTATAGCATCAAATGATTGTACGTTATACTGCAGCACGTCAACTATAGACACGACTCCATCCACTTGTTCGACTCCTCTTCTTCTTCAACGGGTTCACATTTCCTTCCACTAGATCGTGTGAGGAGCACCGAAAAAAGGTCTGGAAGTATCATCCCAAATAATTTCTTGATATGATGCATTTCCATATACCCATCAGCTGAATTCCATTCAGTAGAATACACAAAATTGCAATTTTATATGTAAAATAGGACTGACTGCATCTGAGAGATGCTTCAAAACGTATCAAGTCATCATGATGTATAATTTTCATTATTATTATCATTATTATTATTATTGATAATATTGTGAATGATGTTATTGAGATTTTCATGTTCTGGATATGTACTTGAATAAAAATGAATATATTGAAATTCCCTACTGATCACTTTCATCAATGAACCAATTTGCATAGAGTCCATTAAAATGGACGTGTCATATAAAAAAAATCTGTTGTAAAAAAAAATTATTCGTCATGAGTTATCATTCTTTGGGTATATTTGAATGAGTCAACATCTTCAGAATATAGAGATTTGAAAAAAAGTAACTTCATGCACTAATGGGTTAAGGCACTCTTCCACAATAAATCTGAATCTGTCATTGTATTTTCCATGGCATTCTTGATGCCAAAGTTACAACACACAACTTTGTTTTTTCTTACTGTCGCCATATTGGATTTTGGCAATTTTGAAAAGTT